AAACACGTTAATAAAAATCAGCGTTACATCGACCGTGGCTGTTTTTCGTAACCCGTATCGCCATTCCTCTCCTCTCTCTCTCGCACACATACTTGTCTCTTTCTTTCATCCGCTGCGTTCCGTTTTAACAATCCGATAATCTGCGTTCTTAAATTACTAAATAGGTACAATGTTTATCCCACATTAATATTACCTAGCTTTAAGTTAATTTTAAGTTGTTTAGGTTTATTCAAAATATAATTTTTCGAATCATCAAAAACTAAATACAAAAAAATCATTGAAACTTTCACATTTAGTAGGATTATGTATTATTTAAAAAAAATGGCTTTCCAAAAATTTTCGTCAAAAATTATTTCTTTTAAGCATTTGTATTTGTAAAATTATAAAATATAAAAGTTTCTGTATACAATATTCCAGCTTGACACAGAATAACAATTTGTCAGAACAAGTAAGTCTTAATTTATTTCTGTATATATAAAAAATAAGGAACCCTATTAATGATTAAATAAATGAAAACCTAGGTATGTACATATATCTAGGTATATGTACAGATAATTTGAAATTGACAACCCCAAGCGTGGTGATAAATGCTCAAACTTTAGAAGAAGCCTTTGATCAGTGGTGGCCACTTATAGACTTGATAGGATGTCATATGATAGGTATACAGGAATAAAAATATTGACAAAATTACCATACTAGGTACTACCTTATAGAATTGGGTCAAATACAGAGACAATTTCTTGATATATATTTAATGTTATTTTATGTTGATTTAATATCATATTTAAAAAGAAAATCATAAAAATCCTTTCAGGATGAATTCTTGCAGGACTATGCAAAACAATATCAAAAATATCAATTAGAAATGGCAAAGAAAAGAATGGAACAATTGCAATGGGAAAATAAGTGAGTAACGAATATATATTATCTTTCACCATAACGTTTGTCATGAAACCTTACATTACACAAACATACTGTTAGGCTGGTACTGCTAAGCTGTTCTCTAACTGTCTAAATTTGAATTTTCAAAATGAACTCGATCGCATTCTCGCCCGTCATTGGCCGAGATTATTCTCAGAACCAATGATATGGCGAATCGCGAACGAGTGCACTTCGATCTTTCAAATTAAAATTTATAGAACAACCTAGCTGTTACGATACTCAAGCGGAGATCCCTTGTCAATTACAATTGAAAAGAGATGGAAATACATTCAACAGATACGTGCATCTCTTTTCTACTAAGTTTTTAACAGATGTCTCTGCTTGTGTGTCGTATATAATACTGGCATAATAGCATTTCTCAATAATCATTATATTAACTTGTATAACATTTTAGGAAATTAAAATAAAATTTAACTAAAGTATTGTTTATGATAACGTTCTAAATCTGGATATTTATGCACTTTTTTAATATTTCATAGTTATTATAGGTAGCATTATGTATGTGTATTTAGTAGTTATATAGTTTCCAACCTTAGTACTTATATTATAAGTTCGATTTTAATATAGGACTCCACATCTTGAAGGTATTGTAGATACTGCATTGAAACCTGTGAGTAATAGTTCATACTACAAATGTTGATTCTTCGAACTTTGCCTTGGTCTATCCTGTTCTAAAAAATGCAAGATATATTTTCATTTAAAATAGTAATTAATACTTCATCTTAAACTATCAGCTTTGCCTGTTATTTTTAACAAAATCTACTATTTCTCTTCAAAAACTTTTGGTAATTTTTACTTTCAATTTTATACTTCAAAGGGAATCTCTAGTTTGAGAAACATGAAGGTAAGTAGAAATAATTTACTAATTCGATGCAAGTTGAATCATCAGAAAAATAGTCTTACAAAATTCTG